ACAACATTTTAAACAGATGGCACTGGTTCAACTGGAGGTCAGCATGTAGAAGAATGCAAATTGATCCATACCTATCTCCTTGCACAAAGCTCAAGTCCAAGTGGATCAAGAACCTCCATGTAAAACCAGATACACTGAAACTAATAGAAGAGAAAGGGGGAAATAGCCTGAAATGCATAGACACAGGGGAAATTTTCTTGAACAGGACACCAATGGTTTATGCTCTAAGATCAAGAATTGACAAATGGGACTTCATAAAACTGCAAAGCTTCTGTAAAGCAAAGGACACTATCAAAAGGACAAAACATCAACTCATAGATTGGGAGAAGATAATTACTAATTCTACATCTGATAGAGAGCTAATATCCAAAATATACAAAGAACTCAAAAAGGGGTGCTCCAGAGAAACAAATAGCCCTATTAAAAAGTAGAGTACAGAGCTAAACAAAGAATTCTCAACCGAGCAATCTCAAATGACTGAGAAATACTTAAAGAAATGTTCAACATCCTTAGTAATCAGGGAAATGCAAATCAAAATGACACTGAGATTCCATCTCACACCAGTAAGAATGGCTAAAATAAAAAACACAGCTGATAGCAGATGTTGGCGGGATGTGGAGAAAGAGGAACACTCCTCCATTGGTGGAATTGAAAGCTGGTACAACCACTCTGGAAATCAGTCTGGTGGTTCCTCAGACAATTAGACATAGTATTATCTGCAGACCCAGCTATACTACTCCTGGGCATATACCCAAAAGATACTCCAACATATATCAAAGACACATGCTCCACTATGTTTATAGCAACCCTTATATTTTTAAATAACCATAAGCAGCACAATTACTGAGCAGCTGCCTACCCTGCATACTGAGAGAATTTATTTCCCTATCAATAACCCTGAGTTACTACTTACTAATTTCTATATTTGATCTGAGATACTCTTAACTTCAATTGGTCACCCCAGATTGGCTCACCTATCCAATAACAGCTCTCCTTTTTCCTTCCTGTGTGTTCTTCTCCTTTCAATGGCAGTTTCCCTTGTTCTTTCCACCCTCATAGTCCTCTCTCTTCAAACACTTGAAACCTCAACCCCATCTATGTTTCTTTTACCTAGCTATTGACTGCTGGTCTCTTTATTTATCAATCATAATTAACTCCGGGCAGGGACACTCAGCTTCTTATGTGCATGTAAACTCTCTCCTCTCTGGAGTACCAGTGTTGGGTGGCCCAAACTAGCATTAATATAAAGTTGGCATTAGCCCAACTTTAAGGGGAAGTTTATGCTCATGTTGAGGGCTGGGGAATAGCAAGTAGGAGGGCAAGGATCTTGGTTAGGGTTTTTACTGCTGGAAAGAAACACCATGGCCAAGGCAATATCATCTTGTTGGCATTGGCTTACAAGTTCAGAGGTTCAGTCCATTATCATCAAGACAGGAGCATGGCAGCTTTCAGGCAAGCATGGCACAGGAGGAGTTAAGAATTCTGCATCCATGTTCATATATCTGACTTCATCCAGGAGAAAACTGATGCCTCTGCTCTGGGCAGAGCTTAAAAATCCAACCCTAGAGTGACATACTTCCTCCAACAAGGCCAAACCTCCTAACAGTGCTGTTTCCTATGGGCAAAGCATATTTAATTCACCACAGAAAGAGACTGAGGATGGGGAGGCACTGAGATAGTGAGATAGGAGAAATTTTGAGAACAGGAAACCTACCTGGGTTTCATATGTGAGACCTCTAGTAGAGCAGGGAATCTCTGCTCATTTTTTTAATATATTAACAGATATTTACATTGCTTAAAATTAATTCACTGTCATGATAATATTGCATAAAATGGCTTAATGGGAATACATTTTCCTACTGTTCTGGAAGGTAGAAATTCAAATTCAAAAGGTTGGAACAATGTTTTTCTCTGTTGCCTTCTTATGGTGTAATCCTGTCAGTATCTTACTACAAACTGCCTTCTGCTTGCTATGGCTTCAATTTGGGGGATGAGAAGGGCATTCTGTTATCTTTTTAAAAAGAAATACTAATCTCATTAGATTTGGAACATATCTTAAACATTTCCTGTAATATTCATTACTTTATTATAAGCATCATTTTCAAATAGGACTATACTTGGTAGGGCTTCAATAGACTTTAGAATTCAGAGCTAGATAATAATGCATAAATATAAATTATTTTTATGTTTTTCCATAACGTTTTAAACAGGAAAAAATGATGGGGAATCTTGTTCTATTTGCTACCATTTTTTCTCAAGGGGGAAGGGATTCTCATACTTTCTTCAAAATAGTTCTTTCCCTAAGAGAGTCATTGACAACATAACAGTTATATTCTATATGCCTCTAATTTGGATCTGGGGACAGGGATTGCACCCTAGGTTGTCTACATGATTTTCAAAATAAGATCTCACATGGACTTCCCAGGAGACATGAACAATGTGCATGTTCATATATCTGTCATATCTGATTTTGACCTGATACTCTTCTGATTGTTGCAATGGATGTATGACTGCTTCAGATGATCCAGCTCTTTCCCTATGTTGTGTTTCTTCTATAGAGAAATGGAAGAATTTCCCCATACTTCTTAGATAAAGGTATCTGTGTTCATCATATAAGTTAGCCTGTCAGAATGTGCATATATCTTTATTACTAGATATGTTTGGATCTCTCTGTGTCTCTCTGCCTGTCTCTGTGTCTCTGGTTTTCTGTTCCTGTCTGTATCTGTCTTTCTCATTGTCTGTCTCTCTGTTCAGCATGCATTTCAAATTGTAAGGATCATACCTTCAAAAACAAACAGTTTTCTACAGAATAATTTGCCTGGCATTGAGAACCTGCTCAACTTTTGAGACAAAAGGGCATTCCCTGCCCTTCCCCCAAAAAACTTGCAATAGAATATGTTTCTTAAACTTATCTATTTTTTGTCTTTTGTTTGTTTTTGTTTTTTATTATTTTATTTTTTTACATTTCAAATATTGTCAATTTTTCTGATCACCTCACTGCTAACATTCTACTCTATCCCCTTTGCTTCTAAGAGGGTGCTCAACCACTGAGCCATGTGAACTCCAGACCTATCTACCCTACCAGGGACAAACATCCATTTTTGAAGAAAACAGGAAAATCATCATCTTTTGTTACATTTAAACTTCAACACACAAATTCTGTGTTCCAACTTCTTCCCAAATATCTATAACTTTCCCATAAAAGCTCCTGAAGTTCATATGCCAGCTAGTATCATTTGCTTCTCCAATCTACTTTCTACCTGGTAGCCAGAAAACCATTTCCTATTTTTTGATACTTTATTTTTCTTTCATGTTACTGTTCTTGAACATATGGAAACTTTTCCTTCACAGCAAATTAGACATTATATCTGTTCATATATTCTCCAACATTTACATTTCTGTTATTGGCAATTACCTTGGGTTTTCCTTGTCTCTCATACTTCTAATACTTCTAAAGTTCTAATACTGTCCTTCCAAACACTTGACTAGAGACCCGTTTTTACAATCTTCCTATGTATGTTCTTCCACTAAAGACTCCTCATAGAACATATATCAGCAATTTCATCACTTTGGCCTTTTGTGATCAAATATTTTCTCAAAAAAGTGGTTGCCTCTTTCTCTATACTCATTTTTAATACATCATATATACTTTATAAAATAGTATAAGAATATTTTATTGAAATATTGCTGAAAATAGCAAAATCCTAGAAACCATCTACCTGTGGACATATAACTAACATTTTCATTATAATAAAGTATTATAAACATTGAAATTAGTAAGAAATGAATTATAATTAGTTTCAGGCAGTATCACATTAAGTGAATTTTGAGAGAGAGATTGATGATATAAAGATATTTTAAAGACGGTCTTGACCAAGTTGGGAAAATTTATGGATTAACCTGGAAAAGGTAAAGAGGAAAACATGAGATTGCTGGCAAGCAGAGAATACCTGGACATTATAAAAAGTCTTTCCATAGAATATAACCACTGAACTCTCTCAGCATCTAGGATTTCAACTCTAACTTTATCATGTTCCTTTTTCTATTGTTTAGTGATTATTCACTTCCATAGACAATGATTACAGGGAAAAAAAAGAATCTCAGTTTAGCAACAAAGAAAACGTGTAGGAAATGCATAAAAAGTGACTGTCTTTGGCTTAAAACCCAGGTTAAAAGTAAAGCAGGTGATATTTGCTTTTGCTAGAAAAACACAAAGAATTTCCTTGGCTTATCTAAGAAGTGACAGAAAAGTGAAGTATTTCCAGGTGCTCTTTGTGCTTGAATGAGATGCTTAGGTTGAAGCTGACGATGTTAACATAGAATTGGGGTCGTTTTATTCAGCCTAGGAAGAGTGGTGGCAGAGTGAGCTCATTGACTGAGAAACTTTCATTATGGGAAGAACTCATGGCTGCTTGCAAGCTGATATTACTAAGTTATATTGTTGGCTCAGATTCATGCGCTTGATGCTTTGACCATCTTTATTCCACTAAGTCCCCATATCCTGATATTTCACAGATACAAAGAAGATCCTGGGGTTACACTAATTTAATTTAATTTAATTTAATTTAATTTAATTTAATTTGTGGAAAGATATCCTAATACAAGTGCATTCCAGAAAGATTAAAAGAAATGAACAATCATTGAAATTCTACTGATTTTTCTATTTGTTGATACCAATTTATAAGTCCTTAATCCAAAATTGTCATGGTGAAATCCTGACACCTTTATCAGGACCTGGGTCTAATATAATAATTGTTCTGAATGTCATAGGTTCCCTTTAAAACACATTCAGTTGATTTAAGGTTGGCAAATTGTGTCTCTTTCTAAACCATCACTATCTCATTACTGTGAGAAAAAATCTTCATTTTTGGATTAAAACACACACAGTAATGTTGTTTTCAGTACTGATGATTCAAAAAAATGTTCCCAACATGTGATAGTCAAAATCACTTCTCTTTCTTTCCCATTTATCCTTTCACTCACAGCAGAAAAGGAAAAATATGAGACAGAAAAATGAGAGCACTGTGTCTGAGTTCATCCTCCTGGGGCTTCCCATTTGGGAAAAGTACCAAGGCCTGTACTCTGCCCTGTTCCTGGCCATGTACCTGACAACTGTGCTGGGGAACCTGCTCATCATCCTGCTAATAAAGCTGGACTCTCACCTCCACACCCCCATGTACTTCTTCCTCAGCCACTTGGCCTTCACAGACATCTCTTTCTCATCAGTCACAGCTCCAAAGATGCTCATGAATATGCTGACACACAGTCAGTCCATCTCATATGCTGAATGTGTTTCCCAGGTGTATTTTTTCTTATTTTTTGCAGATCTTGACAGCTTTCTTCTGACCTCCATGGCCTATGACAGGTATGTGGCCATCTGCCACCCTCTGTACTATACCACCATCATGAGTCAGAGACTCTGTATTCTTCTATTAGTTATGTCCTGGGCCTTATCTTCTGCCAATGCTCTTGTACACACCCTTCTTTTGGCTCGCCTAGCTCACTTTAGAAACAATACCATCTCCCACTACTTCTGTGACCTCTCTGCCTTGCTGAAGCTGTCCAGCTCAGACACCACCATCAATGAGCTGGTCATTCTTGTTTTAGGTAATGTGATCATTACCCTGCCATTCATATGCATTTTGGTCTCTTATGGCCGAATAGGGGTCACCATTCTGAAAATTCCTTCTATCAAGGGTATCTACAAAACCTTGTCCACATGTGGCTCTCACCTCTGTGTGGTTTCCTTGTATTATGGAGCCATCATTGGACTATATTTTGTACCCTTATCTAATAACACTAATGAACAGGATGTAATTGTGGCTGTGATGTACAATGTGATCACACCCATGCTGAATCCCTTTATTTATAGTCTTAGGAATCGGGATATGAAAAAAGCACTGAGAAATATCCTCAGCAGGAGACTGTTTTCACAGTGATGGGCATGGTATTCACTGTTAGCATTCCTACTTCCTTCTCCTTCTCTCATCTTTTGTTCTGTCAGGGTAATTTTATGTGGTCTCCTTTCTTCACTCAGTTATCCTTGTACAGTTTTGTTCTCTATTTAACTCTCTTGCTTCAGCATCTTGGGATAATTTCCTACAAATATTCTACATATTTTCTTTGTTCTGAAAATATTCTAATTGTTAATTTATTCATCACTACATCTTTTTATTAGACAGGTTTGTAGCTTTTGTACCAAAGATCTTTTTCCTCTCTGAAGATGACAAAATATTTTTCTCTTAGATTTACAATTTTATTTTTACATTTTACCTTACCAGATATCAAATAAAAGATATTTATCTTAATATATCAGATAAAAATCCTCTGATTGCTTAGCAGTAACTCAATTAACATTTATTTGTTTATTTTTATTTTTCATGTATATTTGTTTTGCTCACATGTATGCCTGTGCATTATGTTTGTGCCTACTGCCAGCAAAGATCAGAAGCTGGTGTCATATCCCCTGAACCTAGGCTGACAGATGTCTGTAAGCTACCATTGATGTGCTGGTAATCAAACCTTGTCTTCCTGAGAGCCAGTCAGTGCTCTTATTTACTGAGCCATCTTTTCTCCCTCTTACATTTAAGTTTTAATTTACACTCAAAATTAGCAGATATTGATAGCATATGTTGTGTTGTTTACTTGCATGTATATAATATGTGATATCTAAATAAAAGAAAGTATAGTAGTTTCTTCAAATATTTACCATGTCTTAGTATAAAATTCTTTACTCTAGCCTTTGGGGTAATATGTAGTATTTCTAATCACCACATAATGAAAGATATTTAAACATGTACTTTTCCTACCTAACCATAATTTGGTACCCAGTGACCAACATATATCTATCCATCTTTACTCCTGATTTTATTTGTAATATTATCCATTTTTCTCAATTTTTCTATTTGTATTAGTGTGGTGGTAACCAAATACTCAATTCATTGTGTTTTTTGACAAGTATTTGGCCTTGTTCAGTAACTAAAATAAAACTGTTCTCTGTAAAAGATAAAAACAAGGGTAAGGACAAGTCTCATGTGGAGCATGAAAGTCCTGGAAAGAAAGGGTGAACTGAGAAGGCACACCTAGTGTCAAGACATTGGCATTAGGCTCCAGGGGTCATTATGGTTATGTACAATATTTGCATGTCAAGAAGAAAGTTCTCCTTTTCTGAGTCAGTGATAAAGCATGACTGTGTAGATATCAGGAAGTCTGATAATCTTCCATCAAGTTCAAGCAGATCTGCAGAGCAGTTTAATCAAAATATATATTATTATGAAAAGAAGAAAGAGATCTCTTTGTTTAACTACAAAAATGTCATATCCTTTGAAAGCATTTGGCTCTGGTCCCTGAGAATAATTTACTGCCTAAGGAGAAGGACTTAATTCAGTTGATAGCAAGTGACAGTTTAATAGATACTTCTGTAAAGTAGCACAGGAGAGTTGAGTGGCTAGTTAAATGCTGTTCAATTAGCACTTAGTGGCACTTAAGCTACTGTGAGAATACACATGTGTGCAAGTGTGTTAAAATTGTACTAATTATTATTTTTAAAGCAAGCCATATTTTATACACCTATTGGACATTTTATTTAGTTATTACTTTATAAATAATATGCAAACAGATAAGTGATGTAAGCTACACAAAGTGTAGATATTTATTTTCTATTGTACATCAATGTGTTTGCATTTGTATAACTCAAACAGTTTAATAACAATATTTAGCAAAATACACATTAATTTCTAGACTTGTATAGTAGAAAACTGGCAGTGTTGTTGATGCTTCTTTGGTCTCTCCTTAGTTGTATTGTATTATCTCTTGAAGCTAACCAGTTTTTCAATATTTTCAAATTTTTTATTAAAATTTAACAGTTCTGCATAGGTTACTCACATTTACCTTGTCTAGAGTCTTGTATTGTTTTGCTTTTAAAAGAGAAATGACTACATTTATTTTTCTTACATTTTTTTTTTGTGTACCATTGTCTCTGAAAAAAAATACTCTCTATATTTTTATACTCTGTTGGAAGGTTACCCTTATCTTTCCATTCAATGTGTGGTGGTTTGAGTAAAAATGGCTCTTATAGGTTCATATATTTTAATCTTGGTCCCTAGTTGGTAGACCTGTTTAAAAAGGATTAGTTGGTGCAGCCTTATTGAAGGAGATATGTCACTGGGGGTGGGGTTGATTTTTTTTTGAAAAGCCCACATGATTACTAGTGTTGATCTTGTCTCTTCCTTGTGAATCAAGTATATAAGCTCTCAGCTTCTCCAGGTACCATGTATTTCTGCCTCCCTGCTACATACTAAAATGGCAATGGAGTTTAAATGTCTTAAACTGTAAACCCCAAATAAAATCTTTCTTTTGTATGGTGCCTTGGTCATGATGTTTTTATCATAGCAATAGAAAAGTAACTAAGAAAACAAGCTTCCCTGAGCAGCCACCTAGCTGAGGCAGACCCCCATACTTCCTCTACCTCTCTGTCCACATAATCAAACCTAAACCTCCTAAACCACACACATAATCAGAACCATACTACCAAAGGCTACACATAAGAGGCCTGCTGCACCAGGACCATAGAGAATCACCCTGCTACTAATACCTACTACAATAGGAACATCCAGGGGAAAAAAGCTATCCAGATGGTTAAAGGCCCTTCAAAGAACAGAATCAACAAAATCCAGGGCAATATGTCACCTTCAGAGCACAGAGCTACTACATCAAGCCCTTGATAGACTAATACAACCAAAACTCAAGATTGGACATTAAATCCAGTCTTATAAAATGATACACATCATTAAAGAGGAAATGAATAAATCCTAAGACCTGAAAATTGAAATGGAAACAATAATGAAAACAATAAAAATAACTCAGATAATCCTGGAGATAGAAAACAGGTAATTGAACTCCTGATACAAGAGATACAAGCAGCAACAACAGAATATATAAAAAAGAGAAAATCTCAGATAGATTTTTGTGTAGAAGATACAATATTAGAAACTATACATCAGTCAAAGCAAATGTTAAATTTAAAAATTTCATGACACAAAACATTCAAAAAACCTGGGATACCAAGAAAAGACCTAACCTAAAAAAATAGGAATAGAAGAAGGTGAAGAGTCCCAGCTCCAAGGTACGATAATATTTTCAACAAAATCACAAAAGAAAACTTTCTCAACCTAAAGAAAGACATGTCTTATAGAACACCAATCTGAATGGACCAGAAAAGAAAATGATCTTGTAATATAATAGTAAAAACATGAAATCTATGAAACAAAGAAAGAATATTAAAAGTGGTAAGAAGAAAAGGCCAGGTAACCTACAAAGGCAAACCTAACAAAATTACACCCGACTTCTCAACAGGAACTCTAAAAGCTAGAAAGCTAGGGTCAGATATTTTGCAACCTCTGAAAATCTACAGAGGCTAACCAAGCATAAAAACAACAGGAAATAACAATTACTGGTCTCTCAACATCAATGGACTTAATTCTCCAATAAAAAGATACAGGTTAACGAGAATGGATATGAAATCAGGATCAATGATACTGCTGTATATAAGAAACACACCTCAACAATAAAGATAGATACTACCTCAGAGTAAAGGGCTAGAAAAAGTTTTCCGAGCTGGCAGACTCAAGAAAGAAGTTGGTGTAACCATTCTAAATACCTAATAAAATAGACTATCAACCAAAATTAATGGAAAGAGACAGGAAAGGACACTGTGTACTCATCAAAGGAAAAACCTACCATGATGATATCTCAATTCTGAACATCTATGCCTCAAACACAAGGGCATCCACATTTGTTTTTTTTTTAATTGTATATTTTATTTACATTTCAGATGTGATCCCTTTACCCTGTTCCCTACCACCCAGGAACCCCTATCCTATCTCCACTCCTCCTGTTTCTATGACGATGTGCCCATACCCACCCACCCACTACCACCTCCCCACCCATGAATTTCTCCACACTGGAGCATCCAGCCTTTACTAGACCAAAGACTTCCTCTCCCACCTATGCCTGACAGTGCCATCCTCCCCTACATATACAGCTCGAGCCATGGGTCTCTCTCTATGTGCTCCCAGGCTGGTGGTTTAGACCATGGGAGCTCTGGTTAGTTGGTATTGTTGTTCTCCCCATGGGGCCACAAACTCTTTCATCTCTTTCAGTTTTTCTTCTCACTCCTCCATTGATCAGTTCAGTGGTTAGCTGTGAGCATCTGCCTCTGTATATGTCATAATCTGGTAGACCTCTAAGGAGAAAACTATATCAGGCTCTTGTCAGCATGCACTTCCTGGCATAGACATCAGCATCTATCTTTGGTGACTGCACATGGGATGGATACCCAGGTGGGACAGTCTCCAGACAACCTCTCCTTCAATTTCTGTACCACACTTTGTCTCCATCTTTGCTCCCATGAGTATTTTGTTACTCCTTCTAAGAAAGACAGAAGCACCCACTCTTTGGTCTCCCTTCTTCATGAGCTACATGTGGTCTGTGAGTTGTATCCTGGGTATTGCAAGCTTTTGGGCTAATATCCAATTATCAGTGAGTACATACTATGCGTGTTCTTTTGTGATTGAGTTACCTCACTCAGGATGATATTTTCTAGTTCCATTCATTTGCCTAAGAATTTCTCAAATTCATTGTTTTTTATAGTTGAATAATACTCCATTGTGTAAATGTACCACATTTTCTGTATCCATTCCTCTGTTGAAGGACATCTGGGTTCTTTCCAGCTTCTGGCTATTATAAATAAGGCTGCTGTGAATATAATAGAGCATATGTCCTTGTTATATATTGGAGCATCTTCTGGGTATATGCCCAGGAGTGGTATAGCTGGGTCCTCAAGTAATGCTATGTCCAATTTTCTGAGGAACCACCAGGCTGATTTCTAGAGCTTGCAATCCCACCAACAATGGAGAAGTGTTCCTCTTTCTCCATATCC